CGGTCCGGGCCAGGAGGGGCGGGCAGCCGGGGCAGGAGGGAGGGACGGAGAAGGAGGAAAAGCGCAGGATGAAGGGAAGCGAGAGCACGAGGGGGCTTTGAAGGGTTTGTTCTTTCCAGCCACCTGCGGCTTCAAAGAGCCTTGCCGAGGCTGAGAGGAGACTGAGGACGTCTTTGCCCTGGGGAAGATTCCTCCTGTGCTGACAGCCGCCAGGAGGGGCGGGCAGCCGGGGCAGGAGGGAGGGACGGAGAAGGAGGAAAAGCGCAGGATGAAGGGAAGCGAGAGCACGAGGGGGCTTTGAAGGGTTTGTTCTTTCCAGCCACCTGCGGCTTCAAAGAGCCTTGCCGAGGCTGAGAGGAGACTGAGGACGTCTTTGCCCTGGGGAAGATTCCTCCTGTGCTGACAGCCACGGCTTCCAGGCTGGCCAGGGGAGGGAAGGAACGAGGCTTTCGTTCCAGGGGGTCTCTGAGCTCTTTGCTAACCTCCTCCCCACCCTGCCAGGCAGGGCAGGAGCCGTGTCCTGGCGCCGCAGACTGGGGAACCCGCGAGGGCAGAGCCCCCGGTCGCACGAGGGGGTGGAAGCCAGGAGTCCAGGCTCACAGGCTGAGGCCGTTAAACATAAGAACATCAGAGCAGCCAGACTGGGTCAGACCAAAGGTCCATCCAGCCCAGCGTCCTGTCTGCCCACAGTGGCCAAGGCCAGGGGCCCCAGAGGGAGGGAACAGAACAGGGAATGATCAAGCGATCTCTCTCCCGCCATCCATCTCCACCCTCTGACAGACAGAGGCTGGGGACACCAGTCCTTACCCCTCCTGGCTAATTGCCATTAATGGACTTCACCTCCATGAATTTACCTAGTTCTCTTTTAAACCCTGTGATAGTCCTGGCCTTCACAACCTCCTCTGGCGAGGAGTTCCACAGGTTGACTGCGCGCTGCGTGAAGAAAAACTTCCTTTTGTTTGTTTTAAACCTGCTGCTCATTAATGTCGTTTGGGGCCCCCTAGTTTTTATATTATGGGAACAAGTAAATAACTTTTCCTTATTCACTTTCTCCACACACCAAGCGCTCTCCGCCCCCGGCAGAGTGGGGGGCACGTGGCGATAGACAGTGCCCCTTGACCATCTCCCTGGCCACCAGCCGTCACCCAGACAACCTTGGCACCCCGCCATCCATGGGCCATCAACCGAACAAGGCTCCCCCCTTCTGTCTGCTGCCTGACACCACCCCCTCTCACATTCAGCCCCTCCTTTTCCACCGGCCTTTGCCCACGTGACGCTGGTAGAGCAGGTGCCGAGAGCCCTGCCCATCCACGGACACTCACTTCCCATCCGCGGCTCCTTTGCGCAGGTCCGGGCGCAGACACACATTACGTCTCTGCACAGGCCTCTCCTCGTGCCCAGGGCCCCCCGTCTCTGCTCGGGATTAGAATGCAAAGGACGCGGCCGAACTGGCTCTCCCTGGGGTGTCGTTGTGACCGTCTCCGGGACGTTCAGGTGCTCGGGGCCTGGGGACTATTTGTGGGGTGGGGGTGCCGAGCAGCACCCCCTCCCCCAAGCCCTGTTGAGATCGGGGGGCCAACTCTACCGGACCTTGCTGCAAACGGCACCCGGTCTGTCCAGTCCGGGAGAGTTGGCAACCCTCCCCACCACAGACCAGGGTCACAACTGGGGGCAGCTGCAGAGCCCATGGGGCCAGCTGGTGATGGGACCCTGAGGGCCAGCAAAGTCCAAGGAGGCAGGACCCCAGGGACTGGCAGGATCCTGCAGGGGGTGGAGGAGCAGGCAGGGGGCCCTGCCTATGGAGGTGCTGCTCTTCTACAGCGTTGTTCCTCCCAGCGTTGTTCCTCCCATAGGGGTGTATCCCCCCAGTTTTGTGAACTATGCTGCCATACAGCCCACCTTCACCCTCGCGGTCTCACCCCTCATCGGCCCTGACCCCCCCGTAAATTCGAACACCCCCCTAATTTCAATTCCTGGGGAGGCTACATACATAAATGCCCCGGCAGGCACCGCGTTGGGGACCCCTGCTCTAGATCGTCGCCTCGTTTGCCAAGTCAGCACCAACTACAATTTCACACCAAGACTTGTTTTCACGGCTCTGAATACTAGACCTTGAAACGTAAGCTCCACGTTTCTATCGCAGTCGAGGGCGTTTACAATCCGCGGGGAAAAGGCGAAGGTAAGCGATTTGTCCGTCACAGCACACTGGGACCCGCCTGGGCTTTCTGCCCGATTTTGTCGAGCAAGGCGTTCTGAAGTGAGGTGGAACTTGGGAGCCCACAAGACCAATCAGACGCCTGAAAGGGGAGACAGGTGTCTGGGCAGGTTGAGAGCCGCTGCTCCACCCCAATCCCTCCCCTGCACCCCGTGTAAATGGGGTTACTGACTCAAGCCAATGGGTGCTCTTGGGATACCTAGGAGTTCACGGCTGCCATTGGAACATCCTGGCATGAATGGGGCAGAATTCGGATCTTCCTATCCAGAAGCTCAAGCCCTTGCCACCTGAGCTAAAGGAGAATCTCCATTAGCGAGGACCATATAGGTCGTATGCCACACAACAGAGCTGTTCTGATCCATCCGCTAGAGGGCGGTAGGCCCACAGACACAGCTAGATGCAACCCCCTTTCCCTCTGCCAGGCAGTCACTCTTCCAACAGGGGGTGTCTGAACCTGGTTACCCCCAAGAGGTCACCTCTATTAATCACACGGCTCCGAACCCTCCCTCCACCTCTCCCCTCCAAGCCCTTTTGGCTACCCCATCGACAAGGGCTTAGTCCGCCCAGGGCTAACTGAAGCCGCTTTGTTTCCTTTATTCCCTTTGCAGGGGCGCTGACAGTGCGGGACTTTTAACCCTGGGGGCTGCGGCGCAGCAGAGAGAGACGAGAGCGATGCTCCGCTCTGCTTTCATTTGCTGAGGGAACGCTAAGTAGAAACACACCGCTCCATTTTCGGCTTAACAAATGGAAGCCCTTGGACTTCAAAGGCACATTCATATTCCCCCGTAGCTTTCAAGTGCGCTTTGAATTGCAGTTTTATTTGAGTTATTTATTTACTGGGGGGAGGGGGCAAATAAACACGGCACAAAGCCGCTTCCCCTCCCTCGTCATCACCGTGTGCTCGAAGACAATAGTGCCTCCGGGGGCCTGCTCACAGCCATCAGCAACCCCAGTGAGAGGGGAGAGCATTAAAAGGCTCCACGCGCCTTTCCAGCCCAGAGGAGCGTCTGGATTTCCTGGCTTCTCTCGCCCGCTGACCAAACTCCGGACTGTCCCGGTAAAGGCAGCACAAAGTCTCCGCTGAACACTTAACACTGAAGGCCTCAGGTTCTCATACCTGGCTCTCGGCGATCCCCTTGCGCCCAGAGGCCGGCTGGGCCCAGAGGAGGGCGGGAGGCGAGTGACGCCTCGGAAGCCAGTCTGCACGCATGCACCCAGATTATAAGCAGTCTTCCCTCCCCATTTTCCACTCACGTGCAGAATAAATTTTATGTGCACTGCAGCATGTGCGGATGTGCACCACCAGGAGAAACAAATGCAGCCAGTTGTGGGCGCTCTGCTAACCAGCTGGGGGGCTGCCCACAGCTTGGAGGGAACGCTGATTATAGGTGATCTATTCCCCCGTCTAGACCTGCTTGCTGTGCCCTTCGGGATCCCCCGCCACACGCAGCTGCCTAGCAGGCACACCGTGATGCTGGGGCAGTGCTTTGAAACGCAGCGACAAAGGGTACCTGCGGCAGGCCCAGGAACAGGACAATAACAAACCGGATCCTGGTGTGTTTTGGGGCACCCCACACCGCAAGGGGGGGTCTGACGCCTTCTCATGCTCCATCCTCTTGGGGGTTTCCAATCCCCCCCCCAAAGTCTCCTCGGCCTACTCCCCCAGAGTCTCCAATGCTGGCATTGACTCCCCCAGACTCTCCAATGCTGGCGAATCTCCCTCTCTTTTATTTTCAATCTTCTTGGAGAAGGAAAAGAGGAACGAAGGAGAAAACGCCTTCACCCCCGCCCCCCAGGATAAGTCAAGCTCTTTAGCTTAAGTGAAACGGCTAAGTCTTGGGAGCCGAGAGGAAGACAATAAATGGATGCCAATCTCGACTACAAATGCCTTCTGTCTACTAGCCTGACGCATTCCTCGCAGTGGAGGGAGATCAGAGGGACCCCTCTGCCCCCATGCACGACCCTTTGGCAGGGAGAGCATGGGATACACACATCTGGGGTATTAAAGGCCCCCGCGCCCATCCCCCCTGGCTGAAATGCAGCAGCCAGAGCTGGCTGCTCCAACAGGCCGACCCCGCAGTGAAAGGGAAGGCTACCCTCCTGCAACCCCCCCTCCCCTGGCTGTATCTTCTTGCCTTGCTTCCAGGCTGGAGGTCCCCTCCCCATTCCCATAGGCAGGCAGACCCCACCCCCAGCTCTCCGCCCTGCCCCCCAGCACGCAGCTCCTTGCTGTGCCTGGCCGGACCATTTCAGACCCGCAGCGGGCAGGCCAGGTGGCGACATGGCATCGGTGTCTGAGCCTGGCCGGGTTTATTCGGCGCCCCCATCCGTGCCTTGCTGCTGACTCTGGGACAGCCAGCCCGGGTGCTGCACACACCCAGAACATACCCCTGCGAGCCAGCTAGCCCCTCACCCACGCAGGTAGAAAGCATCCAGGGGACAGGGCCTGGCAGGAGACAGAAGAACGAGCCAGGGAGGGTCCTAACCACTGGACAGATGCCTCCTCCCCCACAGCCAGTCTCTAGCCCTGCCCCCGTGCCCTGACTGCCCCCAAGGAGGACAGGAGGGGGTAGGGGTTATACTGAATGACCCCCCCCCCCCCCCGCTCTGGTGGCACGGCCCCTCTGAAATGCGCAAGGCCCAAACATCCCGGCTACAGGTGACTAGCAAACCGGATCGGCAGGAGAACACCCAGGAGGTGGAGGGGAAGACAGACTGCGGAGACCCAGGGAGGGAGGGAGCCTGTTCCGGGGGGGGCATTGGGGGGCCCCCCCTGAGGGGTGAGAGGAAGCGGGGATGGCAGTTGACCCCCCCCCCCAGCCCTAAGTCTCCCTTTCTGGCCACCCCCGACTCTGATCCTAGTCATGGCAGCGGGGTGAGCCCAGCCCCTCCCACTCCAGAAAGTGTCAGCAACCAGGTCAGGGCCCCAGAATCCCTCTTCCCCCCAATCCACCAGCAGCCAGTGATGTGCTAGGGCTGCGGCCAGCCGCACCAGAGACACCCAGGGCCTAGGCCGGGCCTCTTCAGAGCACCTGGGCTTCCCCTCCCCGTGCCAAGCCGAGAGCCCCCTCCAGACAGTGAACTCTGCTGCCTTGAAGTCCTCCCCCCCCGCCCGCTGAGACGCCGCGCAGAAGAGGAGAAGCAGCTTGGCCTGCATCCTGCCCTGGTTATGTGCTCGCAAAGGTCACATTTTAGAGCCAGCTAGTTCTGTTCCCCTGCCCAGCCCCATCTGCCGAGTGCCTGCCAGCAAGCAGCGGGGACTGCAGCAGCACCGGGAACGCATCCCAGCTTTGTGCAGGAGCTGAGACGGGGGCAGAGGAACGCTGGCAGCCAGAGCTCTGCAAAGCACCACCACGGAGCTGAATTCCCCTCACAGCACCGAAATGCAGCCACCTCTGGGGTGAGGCACAGCAGCTATTGAACGCTGCACAGGGATTTCTCATACAGCACCAAAAGGCAGCCGCCTCTGGGGTGAGGCACAGCAGCTATTGGCTAGAAAAAGCAAACATCATTCTGGGATGTATGAACAGGAGTGTCATGAGCAAGACCCGAGAAGTCATTCTTCCGCTCTACTCTGTGCTGATACAGCCTCTGCTGAAGTAATGGGTCCAATTCTGGGCTCCACATTTCAGGAAGGAGGGGGACAAATTGTAGAAGGACCAGAGAAGAGCAACAAAAATGATGAACGGGCTAGAAAACGTGACGAACAAGGGAAGATCGAAAGACCTGGGTTTGTTTGGTTTGGAAAAGAGAAGACTGAGAAGGGATATGATAGCAGCTTTGATCACAGGGAGGAGGGAGAAAAATTATTCTCCTTGGCCTCTGAGGACAGGATAAGCAGCAATGGGCTTAAATTGCAGGAAGGGAGTTTAGATTGGACATTAGGAAAAACTTCCTAACTGGCAGGATGGTTAAACACGGGAATAAATTGCCTAGGGAAGTTGTAGAATCTCCATCACTGGAGAGATGTAAGAGCAGATTAGACAGACACCTGTCAGGGATGATCTAGATCCGTGTTTCTCAACCAGGGGTACAAATACCCTCAGGGGTACTGGAGAGAAGTCTGGGGGGTACGTCTACACAACTGAAATTTGGAGAAAACTGAATTTTTCTTTTAAGTGTTACAGCGCTTTATTATTTTTGTACTTTTTAC